TACTAATGTTTTACTTGTAATTTAAATTGAATTTCTTTGTTATTTCAATCATATGCTATTTCATTTTGCAGGATATGTCTAAAGCTACACGATTTACATGTGTTCTCTGTACTAAGAGGACAAAACATCATGATAGACGGTTTCTTGGTGGAGAAAATAACAAAGGACTACGTAAATACTTGTACAATTTTTTTTCCCTAATTATTGATATCTCTGATGTAATATGTGGGACTTGTAGACGTAAACATTACAGACAATCTGATGAAAAATCCATTGCCAATGCTAAACCTGACATACTTCCAACTGCAAACATATGACAACAGACACTTGCGTCCCCTAAAACTATTACGTTGTCTTTATCTTCAATAGGTGGAAGCCACTCAACCTGCTTCGTTTGCAGGAAACGAGGCCCTGAACTAATTGTTGTTTTTTCCTCAACAAGCCTTAATACATTTGTACAAAGGAATATTGTAATACTTGCAGAAGCTAGATACTGCCTTGGTCATATTTCTGATGAGAATTTCAGTGAACAAGCCCTTGCATGAATGTCAGACTTAAGAAAATCGAAAGATTTTAACCGAAGTGACATTTTGGACCTACTTCAAAAAATAAGAATGCTACTGCTAAAAAATGATGACAAACGATTAAATTTGGATAACGACTCATCATTAAGTGACGCAGAGTACATAAGTTTAACAGACATTGATATAGCATCTTTCAATGATTTAGCAACACATCTTGTTTCTATCAGAGATACGAAGGTGCGTAGTTCCAAAACATGCGTAGGAATTTTCTTGACGAAAATACGGTCAGGAATGCCCAAAAAACTTTTGGCTACTATTTTTAATTTAGGAAAAGATTCGATCCTCCTAGCAGTTGCAACAGTCCGAAAAAATCTTATGCAGACATTCGTACCAAAGCACTTAGGATTCAATCATATTTGTAGAGAGAAATTGATTGAAAACCATACTAGACTTCTTGCCCAGACATTATTTGGCAGTGAATTTAATCCCGCAATTCTTGTAATTGACGGAACATACATATATATACAGAAAAGCGGTCAATTTCAGTTTCAACGCCGTACATTCAGCATGCACAAGCATCGGCCTCTCGTCAAACCCATGGTGGAGAGTACCTACGCATTGTATGCTCAATATGCAACAAGTATTTCAAGCCACTTAGTTCAGGTGATCCTCAAGAAGACCAATTATTTGGGTGTAAAATGATTTATCTTTCTAAGCAAAATAATCTCCTTGAAGAAAAAATTGAGTCGGAAAATCTTCACCGCATTAGATCGTCTAGATGCTGCATCTGTTGATTTTCCTTCGATTACTGATGAAGATCTCAGAAACCTTACTTTAGGCGTTTACCTGATGAAATTGGCCAAGACATACGTTGCTGAACATGTTACTGAAAACAATGACTTTGAGGTACTGGTACATAAACAGGAAAACACTTTGATATGTGCAAAAATCCAAAGTAGACATGTTTCAGCTAGAGCTTATTTGTTATGGATTCAATACGATGAAATGACTGTTCTTGGCTGGTTCTGTAAATGTCGTGCTGGAGCAAGAATAGTTGGTATGTGTGCGCACGTTTCAGCAGGTATCTGGTATTTAGGGTATGTTCACTGTTTGAACATACCCTATTGTTCTGGTGACGATTGGACAAAATATCTAACAGATGCACGTAGCATGCCAGATCCCGAGATTATTGATGAAAGTGATGACAGTGACTGCATTGAGGAATGATTGCATAGCTTATCTAAACTTTTTGTTGTTACCCTAATGAGATTAATGACATAAATATATATATAATTTTATTGCATGATGTTAGCAATCTATCATATTAAATCTTTCTTTGGTGAGAGTCATGACAACAAAAAGGTTATACATGTATAACCCCTTTCACGATTTGTATGATATCTTACACAGGCGAAATCGTCAATAAAATTATTGAATTAGACCTTATTTTAGTTCATTTCATTAACATGTTTATATTTCAACAAAAGTTATTACTGTAAGAGTCATATATATAATATAATGTATACATGCAGTATGTCTGTATTACTGTAAAACCATCTGTTCATCTACACAACAAAGAATTTAATCACATTTGAAGGATTTCACTCAAATAAAAATTTCTATTAAATAATTAATTCGTACTTATTGGTTTAACAGCGTTTTGTAAAGTCATTCTTTTCATTACAACAAACATACGTAAAACCAGACATCAGTAATTGAGATACGCATTTTAGGTATTTTCACTCTTTAAAATTACAATTTCAACATTTTTGTTGCTAGGTAGCTGTTACTATGGAGATACATAATACCATGGGTTTTAACTCTGTTGAACAGTTTCTGATTAAACAGTTTGCAGTTGTTACCTGTTCAAAATGACAAATGCATACACACAGACAAAGTTTCAAATATAGATGAAATAATATTAAACATCATCTAAAGTTTCTTTATGTTTCTAGGCAATTGGATAATTTGTGGTGGAATAAACATAAAATAATGTCATCTTGAAAAGTGTGTTTCAAATTGTTTGTTATTTCAGAAATAACAATTAAAAATAGACTTTTGATTATTTAGACTGAAACAAATTTTCCATGCACCATAAAATTCGAAAAAAAAACGTAAGATTTTGACATATATCTATATATTTTTGAAACCATGGTAACAGTTGCTATCATGGTAAATTGGTAAATACAAATAATTAGGGACCACAAAAGAGAAAGTATATTACTTTTATATTGATTCATAGAACGTCCTTTTGTATATTTTGTATATAAGAAGGTTTCTTTGTTTTAAGTTTTCAACTTATATACGTGCAATAATAACAGCACTAGTTTCAAAATTGATTAAAAATTCATGTTTGGTTTTAATAAAGGGATACACTTTGACGACGTCATATAAAGTGATTTCAAGTAATATTTACAAAATATATATATTTTTGGAAAGCAGACACCTATAAGATATTTTTGAGAGAAAAATCATCTACTTTTTAAGTTGGGCCGATTTTGACCCTTATTTCCACAATCTGTCGATTGAAAGAAAACTGGTTTGACCCATACTTTTGTTAAACATAAAATAAACTTCGTTAAGGCAAGTAATTTATCAATTCTATCGATTTGAAATTAGACCAGCCTTCTACTTTAATTGAAAATTTAAATGAAGAAGACATTATTTGCTTTTATTTTATTTTTAAGATTAACCCTTAGTGGAATTTGATTAAACAAAATCAACATATATCAAGTATTTAGGATTAGGTACAATGCATAACAGGGGTTAACCGGGGACTCAGTAAAAAAAAAGTCTCACTGTGATGAAGAAACTTAGGCTAATTTATTCGCATGCTTTTTTAGTACTCCTTTAACGTATGTGTAAAGCTGAAATGTCGACTTTTTACTTGAAAACTGTATTTACTAATATATGCCATAAATATTTCCAATTTATAAAAACAAATTGATTTGTTTCATTCGTGTGTAAGCCTGACATTACAGGCATTTAAAAAATCATGTTAAAAAATGAGGCATATTATACTCCAAGATTGTTGTTCTTTAGCCCATATTGATAAACACATTCATGATAATTGATATAAAAATTGTAAAAAAGCAGCATGTACATCTATATAAAAATAGGACGATGTAGTATAATTGCCAATGAGACAACTCTCCACCATCGACCAACTGAATAATATTAACTAAATGGATTTTTACTGGCCATAAACTCTGATTCATAACAGTATAGGAACTAGTCTTCTATGAAAAGGGCGCAATTGGTTCAAACAGGGATTACATATAATCCATCTGAAAACTTTATTGTCAAAACGTACATAAATGTTGCCGAGTAGATAATGTACAGCTTCAATCATCTCAACACACCTTTATTTAATATATCAAGCATATTTACCTTTTCCAAATAAATCAACAATCAGTTTTTTTTCAGGATAATTTTTGTTTGAGTAGATTGTGTGGAAGTGAAGTGAAAAGAGTTTTTGTTCTGTAGATCATTTCAAGCATTGCAATATTTCTTCTGGTTCCAACGAAGGTAGACTGTTAGTACCCTAGAGCAGCATCAGCTCAAAAGTCAATGTTTCGGTTCTGACGTGATTTATCAAATACATTTTCAGATATTAAAAATCTGTTTTAAGTATATAACTGTGAAATATAGTAAAACTAAATGAATTATAAAATGTACGATTGAGTTTCAACACAGATATTTTAATGTAAATGCCAGGCGAGAAAATAAAATAAAAATGCCGAATATTTCAAGACCAAGAGACTCTAATTTAAATGTCGAGTAGATAATACAAAATAGGAATACCATATCTTTTAAGAATACGAGCATAAAATCAAATAATTAACTCTTTCTTTTATTCCTCATCACAACGTGTGTTAAAACATCTGTTCTAATAAGATATTGGTTTGATCTTGCCGTTGTATACATTTTCGACTTACGTACTTTAACAAACATTGTATCATTAGATTATTACTGTGGTTCAATTAAAGAAATTATACATACAAGATATAATAATTACAACATAAGATAGTGGACAGTACATCAGTCTAGACAAACCAGCAACAACCGACTTCTCTAATTAAAGTTAGTGTACAATCAACAACACATAGTCACGATAGTCTGACAAAATTTAAACTTTTGCCATTCGGTGCGTCTTACGCCTTTCTGGATTTATCAACACCGGGAAAGCCCCAACCCAAAAATGTGAGAGCAAAAAATGTATGACTTCTTGAATACGCAAGGAACTTAAGAAAGAACAGTCATATCCAGCAAATGCGGGGAAATTAAAACGCTTTGCATACGCACAAACCTCCCAGTTTGCCTACACACCATGTGTTTGTAAAATTATGGTTAATATACCTTTCAGAATGTCTATGTACAACTGTTAGGATTTATTGGTCAGGTACTTCCTGAAATACAATCACATTTAAGAACTACTATTTTAAACAAGAAATTATCTCTTTTTTTCAGTCGCTGTTTGTATTATTGTTCATAGAATTATGCCACGATGGATCCAAGTTCGTAATAGTAAGTTGTTAAAATATATAGACCCTACGAATGACTGGGGAATAAAAATGTTGTAATTCTTAGTCTTCTTCAGACTGACAGTAAAACCATTGCTAACGTTTGGCATCATATGAGTGTGCGTGATGAAGAAATAGATGTTCAATCCGATGCTTCGTGTAGAGAGTGTCAAGCTCTATACACGCTTAGAACCTTTGCAACAACTCCTTTATGTGTCCGTAGGTAGACAACTATTACAAGATTTTTATCTATTGTATTTATTATTAATATGTTCTCGTTCTGAACATGTATGAATTGTCTTGCCCCTGAACGTAAAACAAACAACAATTATTCAATCATAGAATATAAGCATGTATTCGTTCACTTTTTTTCTGTATTTATATCTTTATTTGTATGAGAAGTAACCCATGCATTGTAAGAATTAAAACATTCAAATGTCGCAAATAACAATTAAAAACTAGGCAGTATATGCAATAGAAGAAAATGAAAAAAAGGCATGCGTCAAAAGTTGAATCTTGTCATACTGATTCTTTATTATTGCTTGCTTTACATCCAATTTCAATTGTTTGATGCAAAATTCAGGATGAGAACAAATTTAAAATTAATACCAAAGCAAACCGGAATGAGGGGAGAGACATTTTTTACTGCCATTAGAAAATATGTAAAGTTCGATAGGAGCAGAAATTTTGTCTGGCAACAGATAACCTTCGGACCCCTTAAGAGTTTATAGAAGAGGTCATTAACGTGTAACGTGTGTGGTACTCTCTTATACAAATCCTCTCTTGCCAGTTTTAGTTTTGTACGATAGACTCATTAACATTTAAAAACTATCCAAAATTTATAGAAAATCGACGACACCGTGCGAATAGAAAATCAGTCATTGGCTTTTATGGAAACAAAGTAAACGCAATCAAATCGGTCGTTCAAATTACCCGTTCAGCAAAGGTACGGACATCTAGCCGACTAAAAATCATACACCATTTTCTAAGTTGTATTCCTTTGAACTGAAGAAAATGGTTAAAAATCAACTTCTAAGATTATTTTTGTAAAGGGCTGTACAACGCTATGAGAAATTTCACAAAAACTGTACGTAAGGTCTTTTTATAAAACATTAAATATTTTGCAATCTGTTTATTTCAATTAGATGTCCTTGCATCTGGAAATTAAAATGATGTCGTTTAACCTGGCCGAGAGAACGTAACTTTATTATTTTATAGACTTTCATGTTAAGTTTTTCTTATGTGATAAGAATTTAAGAAAAGTAAAACATCTAAACTAGTACGTCAATCAATTTATTAACCCCACAGATAACCGCTATAATATTTGTATCGCAGAAGACCGCGGATATGTTCAAATTGACGGTGCCAGAAGTTCGCCCTCTATTCTCTGATTGTGACATCACCTAATACAACTTTTAGTGAAATTTCAAAGTTAAACTTGCTACATTTACCAATCTGCTGTTGTAGATTTGTTGTATCTATATATATATATATATATACAGTTTTAGGCCTGTGTCATTATTTGAGAGGAAACCAATGATCGATCAAAAGACTTGTGCTTGTCCTTTCGTCATTTTTTATTTCTTTTGACCATGACCATGGAGTTGTTTGTATTTTCGGCTAATTGTTTTTAATTAACCCCTTTGGATCTTTCCCTATCCCCCCATTTATTTTAAGAAGTACAGTAAAACCTGTATAAACCGGCCTACTATGGGTCTATGAAAAAGGGCGGGTTTCGACAGTGGGTCGGTTTATTTAGGTTTCCGTTTTGACAAGAAGTTATTATAAAAATGATAAAAATAATGATAAATTCTTTATTTTAAGAGGATAACTCGATTATAACTAGTCCAATTTTCATTGAGGCCCTCGAACAAAATACATGTATGCAGGTAATATTCATACATTAACATACAATATATACACAGTGTATATATATATAATACATATATGAAAAAGGGCCGGTTTCGACAGTGGGTCGGTTTATTTAGTTTTCCGTATTGACAAGAAGTTATAATAATAATAATAATAATACATTCTTTATTTACAGAGGGTAACTCAATTATAACTAGTCCAATTTGCATCGAGGCCCTCAAACAAAATACATGTATGCAGTTAATATTCATACATTAAAATACAATATATACCTTTGCACCTTTTGTTTGCGGTATATCATCTTTTCCTGTGCAGTATTTAGACTCCTCTAACAAGAAATTTGTTTCGCATGCACACGTATAAAAATTGCGGTTTTTATCCAACGCAATCATAGGTTTGAACGTTGTTTTCAATTTAGACTTGTTTATATTTTTTTCGTTTGGGCTTGTGTTATATTTGCCTTCGGGTTTATATGATCCGTTCATCCTCTTTTGACTCCTCAAAATTCAAGAGTCTATCCTAAATTGTGGTAAATAGTATGGCTTTCCAAATACCGTTTCGATTCCTAACATCACTGAAGAGACATTTATTGTCGAAATCCGGATATGGTGTACAAAAACCTTTGCACCTTTTGTTTGCGGTATATCATCTTGTCCGCAAATTTATTGTTTTCTGTTTAGTATTAAATTCATAATTAAGATCCATTTATTACATCGGTGATCCGTTTATTTGGCAATCGCCAAAGGCAGTCAGCAGGGTTTAAGAACATTTGTTGTTCGAACTGTTAGTCAAATGCGTTTTGTTAAAATATACATTTTCACTTGTTTTGGTCTTTTGGAAAATGTTGTTTGTGCTGTTTTTAGACCCCTCTAACAAAAAATTTGTTTTGCATGCACACGTATAAAAATTGCGGTTTTAATCCAACGCAATCATAGGTTTGAACGTTGTTTTCAATTTAGACTTGTATATAATATATATATATATATATATATATATATATAAGTACGTCTGAACCAGTGACAACTCTATGCCAGATTTTATCCATCGGATCACCAGTGATGGTGATACAAGGCTGAAAACACATTATGTATACATAATTCGTCTAAATAACAGCCCAACAATGTTAGATCTGTCAATTTGCGGAAGCAAATTTTTTGTTCTTCCCTGGCCGGGATTCGAACTAATGCTACTGAGATATAGTGGTACCAAATCGCCTTGCACTCTGCCCGACGCGCTAGACCACTCGACCGGCTAGGCTCGACAAAAATCAAGCTTTCGGTGGCCGGGTGTTACCTTTCCTCGTCAGTTTTTATCTAGCGTCGTAACACAGTACATGATATATAAGGCATGAAGATGGAATATCTCAGTAGCATGAGTTACAAATTTACAGATCTAACATTGTTGGGCTGTTATTTAGACGAATTATATATATATATATATATATATATATATATATATATATACATATACACTTTTTTGTAGTGTTGAACATCATTAATATTTAGCATTGCTAAGTAATCATGTGTTAGTCCACTTACAATTTTCAACATTAGATTTGATTGTTGGTATTTTATTCTTTTTGTAAAAGATAGCCATTTTTAAGAGGACAACATAAAATTAGATGGAACAGAAATATCTCATTCAAGCATAACTCTTGCTACTCTTTTTTGAAGTTTTATGATTCTATCTGAATCTTTTTGTAATAAATTTCCCCAAACTGAACTACAATAGTCAATAAATGGTAGAATATATGCATTATAAAATAGTTGTCTTATGTGTATAAGCACATATTCTTAAAGTTTATACAAAAGTGATATATTAGTAAGTAAGTTTTGTTTTGAACTCAATTTCATACACTTTGTTTTTTGTGCATTAATTTTCATACTGTTATTGTTACACCAAGATTGTATAGCATTTAAATCATTTTGCAATATGCTGTTAATTTTTTTTATCATGAAAATGCAATGTTGAATCATCAGCATATGCATCCATTTTGGATTGTTTAACATGAAGTGGTAAATCATTGATATAAATTAAAAATAACAGGAGCACCTAAAATTGAACCTTGAGGCAGTCCATATTTTACAGACGTTTTATCAGATTTAATGTTTGCGTATTGAACTTCTTGTTGTCTATCAGACAAATATGATTCTATCCAATTTATCATATGTTCTCCGATATGATACAATTTTAGCTTTTCTAAAAGTATGGCATGGTTAATAAGACCAAAAGCCTAACTGAAATAAAAAAACACAGTACCAACTATTTCTCCATTATCTAAATATTTAACCATTTGTCAATTAGTTAAGTTAGGGCGGTTTGACATGAATGACTGAGCTATATGTAACATTTTTTTATTATTCAAGAATGCATATAACTGTGTATATACATGTCTCTCAAAAATCCTAGATATGGTATTTAAAATAGAAATTGGACGATAATTGGAGGGAACATCTGTTGGTTCTCCTTTATGTATAGCAGTTACTCTGCACTAAGGTTTAAAGATTTGGGACCAATTCCATCTAAACCTGCTGATTTATTAATATTAAAGTGTTTTAGTTGTGTACACCCCTCTCCAACAGAAATAAGGTTTAATTTAAAATTATCTGTTTCCTTCAATTTTTTACAAGTAAAATTTTGTTGCATAGACAAATCTATATTTTAAGTATTTCTTCCAATATGTTTTGGGGCCTCGGTGGCCGAGTGGTCTAAGTAGTTCAGTACTACTATAATCACTAGCCAGTCAAAACTGAGGTTGTGAGTTCGAACCCCGCTCGTGCGGGTGCACTCGACTCCAATCTTAATTGACTAGGATTGTTAGTTTTCATATCGAAGGTCGGTGGTTTTCTCCGGGCACTCCGGCTTCCTCCGCCAATAAAAACAGGCCGCCACGAAATAGCCAAAAAGCGGTGCTTAAAAGTGGCGATAAAACCCCAAAAATCAAATCAAATCCAATATGTTTTTCAGCTACCGAAAACAAATAAACATTTAGTGTATTAACAATATCTTGGGGGTTATAAACAGTTTGATTTTCATACTGCATTTTAGATGGAAAAGTATTATCCATTTTTGGATTTAACTCTTTTATGTGATTCCAAAGTTCTTTACTATTTTTTGAACTAGATATAGCGT